AAAAATATATTTTTAGACTGTACTAAAATAATAACGTTAGATAAATATTATATTACTTTGATTTGCTCAGTCATAAGCGGTATATTTATATTTTAACTACGAGATAACTAAAACTAATATTGGTCAGCAAAAAAATGTTGCTAAAAAAAATTTAGTAAAAGAATCGCTATATTAATACAATTAATAAATAAAAGAAAAAAGAGGAAAAAGCATTAATAAACTTAAAAAAAAAATTTGAATTAAAAAAAATGACTTAAAAAAATTAAATAAAAATTCCTTTTTTTTTTTTTAAATAAAAAAATTAAAACTAGAAAAAGAGAAAGCCGAATTCATAAACTTAAAAAAATATAAATTAAAAAAAAAAAAAACTAAAAATTTCTAAGTTAAAGAAACAATTAAAGGTTTCGGAATTGAAAAATATTTGCTAAAACTACAAAATAGCTTAATTCAAAAAAAATCCTGGATTAATGAAAAAAATTCTAAATATAAAAATTTAATTTTGCTTTTATAAAAAAAATTGACAAAATTTAAAAAATAAAAAATTGTTAAATTTAAAATAAAGCATATTTGAAAGAAGCAATAAATACCAAACTTAAAAAGATGTTAAATTAATAATAATAATTCTACAAATGGAAAAATTAGAATTTTCTAAATAAAAAGAGCTAACTGGAAAATAGTAAATATAACTAAATAAACACTTACTTTATTAAAATAAAAATTTATAAAATTAAAAAAAAAATAGTTCAAAAAAATCCGAAATTAAGGAAAAAAAATCTTAAATAAAAAAATTTAATTTTGCATATATAAAAATAAATTGGCGAAACTTAAAAACTGAAAAGTTTATAATTTAAAAAAGAAAACAATTTAAAAGTAGTGAAAAATAGCTAAGAGAAAATAATTCTAAAATAATAATTAAAAAAATCTACTATAAAAAAATATTATATGATTTTTCTTAATAAAAATAAGCTAATTGGAAAATATTAAATATAACTAAATAGACAATTGCTAAATTAAAATAAACATTTATAAAAAACTAATAATTATAAATAAAAAATAAATAAAAAAGCTGAACTCAAAAGAAAACCTAAATAAAACAAAAAAAATATAAAAAATTTACAGGTTAAAATAAAAGCTGAATAACAATTAAACAAAAAAATATTTAATAATAAAAAATTAAATTAACAATTTAACTAAAAAGTTAAAAATAAATGATAAATTAAAAAAAAAAAATAAAAAAACTGAAAATGCTGTTAAAAAAATTAGTGATAATTAAAAAAAAAAAAATAAATAAATGGAACTAAATTAAAATGCAAATTGCTATTTTATTCTATTTTCCTTATTTCTTTACATTCTATTGTTTTTGATTGTAAATTAGTTTTTTTTTGGATTTATTTTATTTTAAGTTATTTTTTCTTTTATTTTGCATACTGATTTTCCTTTATTTTTTTATATCGTTTATATAATTTTTTTATAATTTTTTTTTTTATATATTTGACATTTAAGTAATTTAGCTCACAGTTATCTAACCAAATTATGAAATACATTATGATCTTAATTAATGATTTACCAATGCATTGCATATACACTGGACATATAGTTAGCGATGTTGGGCGAAAAAAAGCCAGAAAATATACATAAAAACGCTCCAACTAACTTTACTTTCATTTTCGACTAAAAAAGCAAAAAAGCAAGAAATAAAAGAAAACTAAAAGTAAAAAAAAAAAAAAAAAAAAAAAACTGTAAACCATAGACCTCGAAAATTCGACACCAAATTGAATTTCCTGCTTTAGGAGCACGAACGACGACGAATGCATGAATAAGTTTTTTTGTGCTAGCACGTTTTATACACACACACACACATATATATATGTACATACATACTTGCATATACAGTACGCGGCAGACAATAGCTATAGGCAATGCCGGCATTAACATAAAAACTGTCTTACAGAAAATGAGAAATAAAAATCAACAACAACAACAACAGCAAATGAAAATAATCAAAAATACTCACAACCCATGCTTATTGTTTGTCTGCGGCAACTGCTACCTGTCAAAAGCAGACGGCAAACATATGACGAAGATGGAGATATGGCACCCACTCGAAAGCGTTGAATTGGAAATGTAATTCAACCAGAATAATAGAGAGACACGACACGACCAAGAAGTGAAAGAAAGAAGCAGCATAAAACACATTTAATGAGTTATAAAATTTAAATTGTAAATTTGTCAACTTCCGTTTGGGATTTAAAGAAAGATACATGTGTACAAATAAACATTTATGCTTTGTGGGGGAGTGAAAAAATTGTTTGAAGTTTAAAAACAAAAAACAGTTATGCATCGGAACGGGAGTGGAGTGTGTAAAGGAAAAGAAAGAAATAATTATTATACTGCATTTGCTATGAAAGAAGGAAGTACTTTTCAATAAGTATACATATTTGCTTATCTCTGAGTATGGATTTTTTTAAAAAGTATTTAAAACAACAAACAATATAAATAAACCTTTCCGCCGTACTGTTTTTACCGACGGCCGCAAAAGTCGGCCTTAATGACATTTCCCCCCGCCGCTGTTTGTCGTGTAAGGTCACGTTAAATAGGTACTAAATGAATGCGCCGCTTAACACAAAGGAAAAGTTGAAAAAAGTGCATTGACTACAAAAATAGAAATATATTTACATACATACATATTTCAAACGTGACATGTATACTGATTATGATTTTTTATATATCTTAATAATTTTTTCCAAATGAACTATGTGTGTGTGTATGTTTACTATATGCATTTTTCTGCATTTGTTTGTATTTATTTCATTCTAAAAGTAATATGACTGTCTATATGTCTCTAAACACATAATAACATTTTACCGCAGGCAAATTAACAAATGACTTTACGCTTTAGAGTCGGCTAGCTCCGCTCATAGTTACTTGAGAAACATATGTTTATAATATATACATATATATATACTTTTAATATGTGTTCAGTGTATATGTATTTATAATTACTTTTTTCAACTAGCGCTAAATTAGTTTTAATAATTAACTATTTAATTTTTATTAAGAAAGCTTACGAAATCAGATTTGTTGTACATTATTTTGTATTGTTTTATTTTATTTTTAATTAACTTACTTTATTTATTTGTTTATTTGTTTTATTCTATTATTTATTTATTTTATTTAAATTTTTTTTGTTTTATTATATTTTTCTTTATTTTATTTTAATTTTTTTTTTTCATTTTATATTTTAAATTATTATTTTTAATTTAATTTTATTTATTTTATATTCCATTTGATATAAATTTTTGAACTAATTTATTTTTATTTTGGTTTTGCTAATTTGATGAATTTAATTTAATTTAATTTGATTTAAGTTTTTTTATTCTATTTGATTTAAGTTATTTTATTATAATATTTAATGTATTTTACTAATTGATTTAATTTACATTTATTTTAATTTAATTATTTTTTTTTAATTTTTTTTTTTTAATTTATTTTTTTTTAATTTATTTTTTTTTAAATTTATTTATTTTTTTTATTTATTTTTTTTTTTTAATTTTATTTCAAACAATATTAATTTTATTTAAATCCATTTAACTTTTTTATTTAATTTAATCTTATTATATTTTTTTATATCAATTTTATTTTATTTTATTTTACTTTATTTGATTGTATTTAATAGTTTTAAGTTAATTTTATTTTATATTAACTTTTTGTTAATTTATTTCAGTTTTATTATATTATTTAACTTTATGTAATTATATATGTTAATACCGTAATTTTCTTATATGTACTTAATTTGATTTTATTTTGATATTATTTTAATAATTTTATTTTAGTTTAGTTATATCTTATTTTCTTTGATTAAAAATTTATTATTTTTTTTTATTTTACTATTTACTATATTTAATTGCAGACCAGTTGCTCCAATGCTACAACAAAATTTTAACCGTTAAATATTTTTCCGGCTAAAAAATAAAAAATAAAACGTCTACAGACAATTTAGCATTTATGTTAATGTGTGTGTACGTTTGTATATATGCATTCACCTTACATGGCTGATTCATCAATTACCACACCACACACACACACATACAAACACAAATCATTGTCATTAGCAAGTTATTATTTTCATTATGGCTTTGTAATATTTTTTAATGTTTTTATTAGCGGTTGAACGCTTATGGTCATTGCAGTTATGTTCGTATTTGCTTATATATAGATACATACATACTTATTTATTTTTATGACGAATCGATACGTAATGATAGCTACAGCCTCATTATATATAATTTACTTGTACAAATAAAACTATACTGTAGGTTAGAGCTTTTTTATTCAAATTGCATTGTGGGTCGTTTAATTAATTTTATTTATTTATTTTTTATTTGATTTCAATTGTAAAATTTTTATGAAGAGAACTGTGTTGAAATATTTGGGTGTTTTATTGAGAATAGTATTATTTTTATAAATATCAGATTTATTATTTTTTCAATTATTTTTTTTATGATAAATATAATTTTAATAATTGTTATTTAATTTAATTTATTTTTTATATAATTTAAGTTGGTTTTTTAATTTTTTTATTCATTTATTCTATTTAATTTAATTCGTTTATTATTATTATTATTATTATTATTTTATTAATATTATTATTTTATTATTATTATTATTATTATTATTATTATTATTATTATTATTATTATTATTATTCTTATTATTTTTATTATTATTAATATTATTAATTTTTTTATTATTATTATTATTATTATTATTATTATTATTGTTATTATTATTCTTATTATTTTTATTATTATTAATATTATTATTTTATTATTATTATTATTATTATTGTTATTATTGTTATTATTATTATTACTATTATCAATATTATTATTATTATTATTATTATTATTATTGTTATTATTGTTATTATTATTATTATTATTATTACTATTATCAATATTATTATTATTATTATTATTATTTTATAGAAAAGTCTTGAAAGAAGAAATTTAAAAAATTATCCGATTTTGGTTTTAAATTTAAGCAGTAAAAATTTATAGCATTTCCCGCAAAATGTTTTTCTAATTAACTTTACATAAACTTGCTTCGTGCGTCATCAGCTGTTTCTTTGCATATTTCACTTGTAAAGCTTTTTTATTTATTAGAAAAAGCATACTCTTCATACACCAACACGCTTATCCCTCTACTCTGTTATCGAAATTCATTCTGTAAACACTGTTATAACTCGTAGCAACAGCTAAACACCTGCAAACAGACGCAAGAGTCAAATTTCTTTCATTCCGCAAATCCGTTAACAAACTGCTCAGCACCATCAGCTGTCTTCATCACACACTTTACAAATGTTATTATTACTGTGTTTTATTAATTCCGGGAAATATGCCATAATAACTTTAGACCGACTTATCAGCAGCCGAACTGAAAACGAAAAACAAAGACGGAATAAAAAATTCGCTTAAAAATAACAAAAAAAAAATATTGTTTGTTTACCTAACGCCATATGCGCCTTCACTCCAATAAACTTCTTATATTTATACATACGTATGTACTTACAGTAGACGGCAAAAATTTGCTTGCAAAAATATTAATGAAATTTTTTGACGAGAAATTATAATAATAATAAAAAATATAAAAATAAACAAATAAAAAATACAAAATTATAATAATAAAAAATATAAAGAAACAAAAAAAAACCAAATAAATAATAACAAAAAATAAAATAAAACAATAAATGAAATTAACAAAAAAATAAATAAAAAAAAAAGATAAAACTAAAAAGAAAATTAATAAATGAATTACAAAAAATATTAAAATAATAAGCAGACTAAAATCAAATAATTAAATATAAATTTAAAAATATAATAATTCAAAGCATAAATAGAAAAAAATAAGTTCATTAAAAAGTTAAATGATGGAAATAACATCATCAAATGCATGAATTCAAATAAAAAAATCAGCAAAATACAAGAAAAAATAATACAAAAACAAAAATATAATCGAAAATAGTAATAATCAAAAAAATAAAAAAATAATAAAAAAATAATAAAAAAATAAAAAAATAATAAAAAAAATAAAAAAATAATAAAAAAAAAACAAATGAAGAAAATTAAGGAACAAAATCAAACTTCAATTCATAAAGAAAATGATGCAAATGTTTTTTTATCAAAATAGGAAATATATCGGAATATGCTGCGTAATTTTTTTCTATAGCCGAAAATTCACTTCCATGCACTCTTTCTAATATGACGTTCTGCCACTAAGTCAGCTCTAACGTCGACATCATTTTAAATAATAAATTTTTGTCATTTATGGCTTTTACCTACATATGGCCACATAAAAAAAAAAAAATAAAAAATAAACAATTTTTTACACTGGTTCCACATGTTTTTAATTGAGAAATTACAAACATGCATGCATACCTACTACAGCGATTTCCTCGCAAACGCCCATACGTTACTCATACGCACTGCTGCCTCATTGCGATTTTATTACACTTTCAAGCACGCGTGCCTTCATATATACGAGCATATATAAATATATTTGCTGAAATATATTTTTCCACGTATTTCTGTCGCCTCGTTTTTCATTTCTGCGTAAAATGTGTGCATGTACTTGTATATATGTAATATATGACAACAATTAATGCGTTCAACGATTTATTCCCCTTTCTTGCGCTGCACTTTTCATTTTATTATAACATTTTCATTTGTTTTAATTTTTTTTTTTTGTTTTACATTTCACCCACATCGTCGCCATCATTTATCTTACTATTCGTTGCAAAGAATGCGGAATTATCAATTGCTTCTTATGCGCTCGTTTTGTTTATATTTCAACACCATCGACTTGTGCATGCTGATCGCTCACGTCTTTTCGCTGTCATCTCATCTGTGTTATATGTGTATGTATTTTTGTGTGTACTGGCAAAGTGTTTATCGGTTGGCATTTGTTTATTTTCTTTATTTTTATTTCATTTCTTTATTTTCATTCTCGCTAAATTGTAAGGCAATAATAGTTGCTCCGCTGCCAAGCAGTTTTGCCATATTTATTGCTTTATCACTTTTGTTTATATTTCGATTTTATTGTGATTTCTGTGGATTTATTTTTTTTTTACTATTTTTTTTTTTAACTTAATAATGCTTTTTGAATTTTATTATTATTTTACAAATTTTTATGTTGTTGATATTTTTATTTTTTTGTGCTTATTCCGTTCTTATTTTTATTCTTCTGTTGTGATTGCGTTTATTTATTTTCTTATATTGTTTTATTTTAAGTTATTCTACCTGCGTTATTATTACAATTTTTTCGTTTATTTATATTCATTTATATTTCGAATTTTACTTGTTTATAAATTTTAATTTTTTATTTTATTCTATTTTTCCTCGATTTATTTCTTTATTTTTTTTTTTATTTTAATTTATTTATTTACATTTTTTAAACATTTTTAATTTTTATAATAAGGCAGGGAAGGTTTATTATTTATATTTTTATAATTTGCAGTTTGTTAATTTAAATTAATTTTTTTTTTTTTTTAATTTGGTTTATATAAATACATTCTAGTTAACCTTAGTATTTTCTTCATTTAACTAAGTTTTTTTATATTATTATAGTTACATGATTTTATTTTAAAATATTTTGATTTATATATGTTTTCATTTTATTAATATTTATGGTATTTAATTTTATTTTCTGTGTTCTCTTACTTTACTATAATTTTTTTTTATTTCTCTAACTATATTAAATTTTTTTAAATTTATTTAATGTTTTTTTATATTATTTTAAAAAAATTTTATAACAAATTCCCGGTATTTTATATATATTTTTTCATAGTAATTTTTTTTATTTTTATTTCTTTAATTTTATTTCACACGTTTACTTGCTTACTGTATACAATTTTCTTGTTTTAATTTTTTTCCTACGGCGCCAGTTTTCTCATTTTACACATTCTTTCGCTTTAACTCATGTGTTGTTTGCCCCGTTTGATATAGGTGAATTTACAAATAATTCGATTAAAATCTCATCGTAATCGTTTATATATAGCTTTACGTCTTACATTGGTAATGCGGCGTGGAATTTTTTTCAGCTTAATTGTAAAATAATATGTTTGATGAGTGAAAATTAGCTGAAATAAATATATTTTCTGCTGATATACACATTTTTTATTTTCCTTGAGTAATTAAATAAATGAATCATACCGCTAATAGTGAATTTCGCATTATAAATTTTAAATGCTTTAGTCGGTGCTGCTAACGCACGTGGCTTTGAGTTGATTGAGTTGATAAATTCAAATACAAAAATAAAATAAAATAAAATAAATTAAAATAAAATAAAATAAATTAAAATAAAATAAATTAAAATAAAATAAATTAAAATAAAATAAATTAAAATAAAATAAAATAAACAANAAAATAAAATAAGATTAAATTAAATTAAATAAAATGAAATAAAATAAAATTAAATTAAATTAAATAAAATAAAATAAAATAAAATAAATTAATAAAAAATTCAATAATAAAAAAAAGGAAATAAGAAATAATGAAAAAATTAAATTAAATAAAAGAAAGTTAAAAAATAATAAAAGGAAATTAAAAAAATAAATAAAATCAAATGTAAAAAAATAAAATGAAATAAAATGAAAAAATTAAATAAAATAAAATATTAAATTATATAAAAAAATAAAAATAGAAATAAAAAAAGAAATAAAATAATTTAAAAGAAATAATAAAAAATAAAAAATAAATAAAAAAATAAAATGAAATTTAAAAAAGTTTAATAAAAAAGAAAAATTGTTTAAAACATAAATAGAATAATAAACACTAAAAGAAAAATATAGTAATAAAAATTAACAACAAAGGTTAAAAACAAAAGGTAAATATTGAATTTTTTGTAATAATGTAATAATGTATCGTCTACCAGCATGCAAACGTATCAGAAATATCATAAACCTTCGAATGAATAATTATATATATAAATAAAGGCACCACCCAAAAGTTTCATAAAAACTTGTGTAAACAAGCCGGTAAAAGGCTGTTGGTAATTTCAATAAAGCCTATAAATATGTATGACTGCAAAAAAGTGCAAAAATCGCACAACAAATAACCAATAAAATGCAAAAGAGAGGAACAAAGAAGAGAAAACTAAACGGCAGCGCAAAAAGCTTGATCAACAAAAGTAATGTTTTTCCTGCCACATGCAATCATGCATTTTTCTTATACTTTGGCATTGAAAGGACCTTCAACTGAGGATTTCCTACTATATGTATTTGTAAATCAACAGGGTGTCAATCAATTTGTACACGTCCTGTACTGTACTGCTTGCTTACAGAGCGATAAGTTTGAGTGATTGGTTAGTTAATGCAAAAGCATGACAAAGGGAGAGGGAGAGAGAGTGAATAAGTATAATTGTATGAAAATAAAACTCTTAAGAAAAGCTAATAAATTAAGTAAATTCATACCATGGCGGGAAAGCTGAAAATCAACATCAGTCATCATTGAATAGCTGAACCTAAAGGCGTTTAATTATTATAAGTTCACAGGAAAAATGGTAGCCTCTCTCAATTGGCTTAATTGTGCATTTCTATAAGTTGTTTCTCCTTATCACTACTTCTTTCAATTACTTATTCAGCACACTCGCAGCAAGTACTAAGTAATTATAAGTTATTCTAAGAAAAAAATTGCAGTGCCAGCACAAGTTATTAATTGCAGCTTGTAAAAGCATTTGAGTGAAAGTGTGATGGAGTAAAAACGTCGTCTGTATTTTTTTACGCTGTCAAACCATAATTTCTTCCAGCCAGAAGATATGCAGTTTGTTGCCAGTAATATTTTATTTAGGCGAGAGATCAGCCATGTGTTTGCACTTCGTTTACAAAAAATGTTGCCTACATTCAGGCTGTAAGCGCAAATTCTATCAAAGTTGCACACCTTCACAAGTAGATGAAAAGCTGATTTTCTTAAAAAAAAAAATAATCATAATAATACAATTTGGATTGGTCATCAAATGGAAGTTATTTTTAGAGTATTTTAAATATGATTGCAACAAAGTTGCCAGATGTTTGGGAAAAAAATTATGAAGAAAATGTATGAAAAAGAATTTAATAGGTAAAATTAAATTTTCACATAGCGTTGTCCTACTTAAAAAAGCGCCTAATTATTATAAGATAATAATATCTATCAAACCAAAAGCTCACTAAGCAAACAAAATCTTAAATTAAAAATTTAAAACTATATCTTCAACATTTTATTAAAATTACTTATACAAAGTAAGGCCAGTTTACCCTTAAGTGGTACAGTAGGTCTAACCTAACTAATGGCGCGTGTCTTTTCAGAAGAAATTTAATAAAATAACGAATTTTTGTCAAGAAACAGAAACAAGCTTCTTATTTTTCCTAACCTCCTAATAAAATGTGTTATATTGATTAAATAAATTTCTCAGGTATTTATAAAAATCGATTACCTTATTTCTATCCCCAACATAGTGCCTGATTCCAAAAAAAAAAAAATTAAAAACACTTTTAGATAATTAGCAGCCCTTGAAGATTCGCTAAAAATGCCCGTCTCCGTTTATTAAACCCCATTTTCATTTTTTCGCCTGAATGTAGGCTATGCTTTTGTTTTCTAACTGCCTCTACTCCGTATTTTATTTTTCTTTTTTAATTTTTTTTTGTTATTTTCTTTATTATATTGTGGAATTGTTTTTGTTATTCCTTTTTTTTATTTTTTAATCAAAATTTTTTTTGAATCCAACCTTTATAATTTTTTAAAAACTCATTTCATTTTGTACTTTTTTAAATAATTTTTATTTTATTTTTATTATCCCGTTTTACATTTGTTGTTCTATTACTTTCTTATTTTATTTTATTTTTTTTTTTATTATTTTTTTTTTTAAATATAGTATATATAATAATATTTATTATATGTTTTTAATTTATTTCAATTACTTTTATTTATTGATTTACAACTGCACATTCATACATACATGTGCATACAATTTTCTTATCTCCATATAACATCCATTTATCATTTTTTATTAGTCATAACAACCAAAATATAATAAATATTCTCTCAACTTGATTGCAAAGCTTCGCATATTTTGTTTTTGCAAACAAATTTTAATCAAACGCCCTCGCACTTTAGTCGCCAAATGACAAATAAGTGCAAAAAACACGCACATATGTACAATACATAAATATGTCTTTACACATACATCCCTACCGTCGTTCATGTTCATATGCCGACAGTTGACATTTGGCTTAAACTCACTGCGGTTTCCAGAGAAAAAGCTCATCGATTAGGTGCATATCTAAGCAGTAAATGTGTGCGTTAAGCCCTCGCGGCCTTCTTCTGAAGGCGTCAATATACTCGGTGCGAATAAATAAAATAAATAGCTACTACTTCAATTTTCATTTGTATGTAAGCCTATAAATTGTTATTTTTTTTTGTGTCTAACATTGAAAAAAAATTCGGCTGCAATAAATAACAAATTGTAGTTGTAATGATAAGTGAGTAATTTGAACCGGCGAATTCATTCCCAACAAACTATTTACAATTAATGAACTTGAACTCTTTATTTAGGCCAAGTTTATGGCGATGTTTTTGAAGTTTATAGTAAAAATTTGTAGTGCGATAGCTGCACACGTGTCGCTCATGTGATAAGAGTTGCTAACAAATATTACCAGCTGATAACCAAATTGCTGATATGAGCATATTTTATGTTGCTCTAACATATGTTTACATTTTTGCTTAAGTAAAAATTAGAGAAACATACTTTGTGTGCATAGAAGTTACTAGAGATGTACGCAGTCTCATGGTATATTATTTATCGATAACATATAAAGCGATTAATCGATAAATCGAAGGATAGAATTTTGTTAAACTAAGAAAAATATATTTTAAGGGGAAAAAATATATATTTAACTATAACAATAAAATTAAAAAAAATTAAGAAAAAATAAAAATAAAAAAAAAATTAAGAAAAAAAATTAAAAAAAGTTAAGAAAAAATAAAAAAAATTAAGAAAAAATAAAAAAAATTAAGAAAATATAAAAAAAATTAAGAAAAAATAAAAAAAAATTAAGAAAAAATAAAAAAAATTAAGAAAAAATAAAAAAAATTAAGAAAAAATTAAAAAATTTAGAAAAAAAATAAAAATTAAATAAAAATGTAATGCAAATTTTAAAAAAGTTATGAAAATCAAAAAAAAAAATAATAAAAATTTAAAACACTAATAAAAATTTAAACAAATATAAAACAAAATTAGTAAAATCAAAAAAAATAAGAATGTGAAATGAACAAATAGAAAAAATGAAAAAGACTGAAATATATAATATTTTATAAAATAAAACTTATAAAAGCATAATTAAATAAAATAATTACTTAATTAAAAATCAAAATAATTCAAAAGAAATTTATTTGATGAAAAAATAAAATTATTTAAAGAAAAATATTGAGAAAAAAATAAATAGAAACTAAAATTAAAATTAAAATAACAAATAAAAATAGAATCAAATTGATAAAAATGAAATAGATATTTAAATGAAATTAAAGAGAGCACAACAAGATATAACAAAAAATGATTTGAAACAAGAAAATGAGACTAAAGCAAAAAAATAAAATAAACTATGATTTCTTTAAAAAAATAAGCATAGTTTTTCGATGGAAATAAAAAATAATAATTAAGTAAAAAATAAGATAAAAATATCCAAAATAAAATATATATAAATAAAAATAAAATAATAAAAATAAATCGAAATACATATAATAAAATACAAAGAATGAGAATTGAATAAAAAGTTATAATTTTATTAATAAAAACATAAAAACAAAATAAAAAACAAAAATTGAATAAAAACTAAAGATATTTATAAAAAAAAATTAGTAAAATAAAATTACATCAATGCAAAAAATACAAAATATAATCAGATGATACAGAAATGGTAAAATAAAATTTAAAAAAATTAAATGATATAAATTTTAAATTGCATTAAAACTAGAAAAGCTTAAGGAAAAAAATATAGAATAATTAAGAGATAAATTAAAAAAAAATTATGAAAAAATAAAAAATAAAAGTTAAAACAAAGTATAATAAAATGAAATAAAAATAACAAAAAAAAATTTAATTAAATTCAAATAAATCAATAAATTTAACTTTTACAACAAAAATTTAAAATAAAATAAAAATTAATTTCAAATAAAATGAAATAAAAAATAAAATAAAATAAAAATAAACTGGAATTTAGAATAAATTTAATTAAAATAAAATAGAAATAAAAATATATTAAAAATTAGAACGAAATAAAATTAAAATAAAATGAAATAAAAATAAAAGAAAATGAAATAAAAGATAAAATAAAATGAAATAAAAATAAAATTAAATTAAAATAAACTGCAATTTAGAATAAATATAATTAAAATAAAATGAAATAAAAGATAAAATAAAATAAAAAATATTAAAAAGAATTTGATTAATATAAAAAAATCAATAAATTTAGCTTTTACAACAAATAAAATAAAGTAAAATAAATTGAAAATAAATTAAAAATTAGAATAAAAGTGAAAAAATAAAACAAAATAATAATAAAAATAATGATTTCAAAAAATAAAAATTTAATTAGAAAATCAATTGAAACTAAAATGAAAAACAGAAAAAAAAAACTAAAGTTTAATGAATTAAAAGCAAATCTAGAAAAAGATTAACTGTCATAAAATTGAAAAAAAAAAAGAATCCCAAAAAAAAAAAAAACTATCGCTTCACCGCTTTAATCGTCTACTACATAGATTTAGTAGTCGCTGAAATCGACTTTAGCATGATGTTAATTACATCGCTATCACAACATCATGTTGTTGTTATTACACACTCGCACTTACATATTTTCCTTATCTCTACTGCAGTGTTGTAAAATTGTTTATGGTCCAACGCATGCTTGGCTGTTGTTGTTATTTTTTTTTATGTGACAAATTCATAATAATTGCCAACTTCACGTACGCTGCTGGCCTTTGTTCAAGATATCGTTGTTCAATAAATTACTAAGAAAAATAAAATACTTTATTTATATAACACTTTGTGCACTCGGAGTTTATTTATATATGCATAAATGCCCATAATATATCATAACGACGAGCGAAACAATTTTAATCATTGCTGTCGATTTTCTGATACGCCAAAAAGCACCAGCTAAAAATCCTAGCCCAAGGGCTATTTATAAAAAAAAAACATTTGTTATTAGTTTATTTTTTATTATTAATTTTTTTCTATTATTTTTTTTATTATTTTTTTTTTTATTATTTATTTAATCTTTATTTTTCATAATGTTTTCTCATTTAGTGGTTTCATATTTTTATTATTTTATTTTTGATACATTTCACTTCTCTAAGCCATTTCGGCGTCGGCTGATAATAATGCACAGTTACTGATTAGATTGGCTATGGCGTGCCATATCTTCTGTTTTAGTTTTATATTTTTTTTATTATTTGCCTTTGCTTTAAAAACACACAACGCTCATGTGGTTGTGTGTCGCTAATCTCTTTGTACTAACACTTTGTAAATTTATATTTCTAGATAGCAAGCAAAACTGTGTGATAAAAATTGATTTTAGCTTTTTTTCTTTGGAAATTTAGACTTGAATTTCGTGTATTAGTTAGGAATTTTAAAATTATTTTTTTTTTTAATTTTTTTATTTAATTTTTTTTTGTTTAACTTTTTTTTAATTTTTTTTTTAATTTTTTTTAATTTTTTTTTTTTTAATTTTTTTTATTTAATTTTTTTTTTATTTAATTAATTTTTTATTTTTTTTTATTAATTTTTTTTTTAATTTTTTATTTTTTTTTATTTTTTTATTTTTTTATTTAATTTTTTCTTTTTTTTTCGGGTGGTTTCTGGTTTGAAAATACCGTGAAATTTTTTGCCTTTTAGAGAATTTCTTATAGATTAGCAATATGTTCTTTATTATTTTTTATACATATATATTGTTTTTAACTGTTTTGTAATTTTAACATTTTTTTTATTTATTTCCAGGTAAGCATTCTCCAACTTCATGCTGCTGATTTCAATTATTTTAAGGTGTATTTAACAATTTACGTACATAAAAAAATAAATTAAATTAAATATAAATTAAAGCATATATTTTTATAGTATTTCTTTAATTTTGGCATAGTAAAAAGTTAACTATTTTTTTTAAATAAATTGACGGCCTTAATTACCATAGCCAGAGTTATCCGTTTTATGTCAAATATACACCGTGTTGCTCGATAGCTTTTTGCCATTTTGAAGATAAAGTCATTATGTCCCTCCCATAAAAACTTTAGTTCTCTATTGGCGAAAAATTGAGACCAACGATTTTTACAGGCTTCGCCACTTTGTGGGAGGTCCGTCCGGTCTATAAGGTGGATGCATGAGAAGCTAGCAGTCAAACTCTCAGCGCATCTATCGTTGTATGTAATTTAATCATATTTTGTTATTTTCATTCAATTTTTAAATTTTTAATTTTTTATTTTTATGCTTCTTGCGTGCCCACAATTATTTGATTCACCATTTTTCTTTCAATAGTTCTTTAAAAGCGCGATTTTTCACAGCCGTCAATGCTTTTAATTGCACATACGTGTATGTATGTATGTATGTATGTATGTATGTATGTTTGTTTGGTGATATGGCACGAGTAAGTGGTACTGCCTTCGCCCCATTTTTCTCGCTATCGCTAAATTTCACTACATCAGTTAGCATTTGGTTCGGCTTTATGCGCTTTTATCATGTTTTTATTTCATTTAATTTATTATTTACTTTCCTTTGTTTGCGCACATGTGTGTGTATATGTGTGGAAGTATTTTTTTTTGTTTTTTTTTTTTGCATTAAATTCTTTATAAGCGCAATTTCTTTGCCTCAATTTTTTTTTTTTTTTTTTTTTTTTGATTTTTCTTTCACTGATTTTGCATGTTCGATTATCGGGCGCGCGCGAGCCGCCGCCACCGCCGCCGCCGCCGCCTGCCTATCGGAATGTTTTGTATATAACTTTTGCCAATACCCAATTCATTCCGTAAACTATATTGACACGCAACGGATCGTTTTGCTGCGTACAGAGCTGCACTGTGATATACAATATTCTAAAAACAACTTTGTTTTGTTCTGTGCGCTGTCGCGGGCGCTCGTACGGCGGCTGATTGCTCGTTTTGGGTGCGCGTCGAAATTCAGTTGCTGAAAAGCAGATATAAAAATAATTGAAAAGAGGTTTTTAGTAAATTGAATTTGCAAATTTTTTGTGTAGTGATATTTTTCTTACATTTTTTTGCATGCGTTTTTTGTAATTTGTTTAACGGGTTTACATGCTGTGGGCATAAAAACAAGTGATTTTCATTAATTTTACTTTTTCCACGCAAAAGTCATTAAATAGTGCAAAAGTTCGTGTGAGAAGTATAAAATGTGTGACTACATATGGAAAATATTTATATTAGTTTTTTAAATAAAATAAAATTAATTATTAGTTTCTGTTAGTTTTTTTTTCAAAAAGTTGAATAGTAAAGTATCGGGAGTGCTGAATTCAAGACCTGTTGCGAAGAGTGTAAGATTTGACACCGAACGCCAAAAAAAAAAAGGGTTTCATGGCAGTGCAAAAAATGTTATGAAATTTTCAAAAAAATAGAACTCAAAAACGAGAAAAATATAAATAAAAAATCACCATAATTTTCTTGAATTAGTGAAAAAATACCGCATATCAATGAGAGTTCGTTCCGAAAATAAATCTCTTAAGCGAAAAACTTGAATAAATCAAGGAACTGACACATGTGAGTTTCTGATTTTAAAATATTTAACCATTTCCACGCAATCTGGTTGTGCACCCTTTTCTTAATAATAACCGCATTTTATCTGCTGACGAAAAATTCAGCAAAAAGGAAGCGTTTGCGTTGTGGTTTGGGCTTTTCTATATTCTGATACAAACTTCTTTGTTTTGTGACTGTTGGGAATTTTTCTTGGTCAAAATTTCCTTTCTTTTCAACATAACCATTAAAAATTATTTTAAGCTCAATATGACGTAAGTTCGCGGTTGCTAAAATCGAAAAGGAACGACTTGTGGCACTGACTCGAAGGCTCAAATATTATTTATGCAATTTTAGAACGATTTACGCCTTTTAAAGCTACATCGTACATCGTACAGTAATCAAGAGCGAACACTTTCGAAAGGAGTAAAGCGACACTCAATCCTGGAAGATTTGTGGAAACTACACGCTGCATTGAAGTGCGTTTCAAAAACTAGAACTAAAAATATTTTGTCAAAATTAACTTTTTGAATTAAAATATATTGTCTAAAAAGCTTTGCCCAAAATCGAAAACTTCCATATTTTTAAAATTCTTGAAAGAAAATTTAGTTTAAAAGCATTTTTTTATTTAAGCTTTCAGAGCTCTCGGCATTCACCACCAGCAACACAAAGTTACTGAAAATTTCCATTAAAAATTCGAGAATTTCGCACACAAATATATACATATCTACGTAGGCGCATGCAAAACAAACATTTGCAATGTTTACATAAAAAATACATTTTGAAATTTTGCCATTTCAATTTGAGGCTTTTTTATTGAGCAATTTGTGTTCATGAGGGGAAAAGCAACAAATAACAGTAATAGCAAGTGCTTAAATTTGGTATGTAGGGTAACGACAAAAACGGAAATGAAAATAATTTACATTTGCATTGGCTGGCTGACAAGTGAGTCGGAGGTTATACATACATACATACCAGTTTTCCGAAATATACATAGATAAATGCAAAGATGAATGAAAATAACTCAACAACCAACAGCTCATCCCTTAATGCGCTCTGAAGCTGGAGGCACACAAAGCAATTCTCATCTGCTAAAAAGCAGCCATAACAATTGTAGTGAATTTTTAAAGCAAATTAAAATGGCAGGGTTTTCAAATGCAATGTACTTTGTCTTTTTGTTTTTGCTGATCTATTGGAATGTGCAAATTGGCCTTGAAATGGGAGGGTTATGTTGCCGATCAGCAGGCTATGCAAATGGAAAATGTTACTTTTTTTTTGGGCCAGCGACATTGACATACTTAAAAATTTCAATATTTGCAAAAATATTTAAAATTTTTTCTATTTTATTTTCAAATAAATTATAAAACTCTATTTGAAAACAAAATATAGAAAATCTAAAAAAAAACCTAAAAAGATTTCAAAATGAAAAAAAGAAACAAGAAAAAATGTAAGAAAATTGAATTAATAGATATGAAATCAAAATAATATAAACGAAAAGTAATTAAAATAAATGTAAAATAAATCAAATATATTAAACAAAAGTAAAATAAATGAAAAAAATAATATATCTTAAAGAAATGAAAATAAAATAAATGAAAAATAAATAAAATATATTAAAGAAAAATCAAAATAAATGAAAAATAAATAAAATATATTAAAGAAAAATAAAATAAATGAAAAATATAAATAAATTGAAAAAAAAGACAAATTAAAAAAATAAAAAATTAAATAATTTAAAAAAAAAAATAAAAGGAATGAAAAAATAAAGAAAATAAAAAAATAAAATAAATGAAAAAAATTAATAATTTGAAAAAACAAATAAAAATAATAAAATAAATGTAAAAATTAAATAACAAAAAAGTAGAGAAAAGGAAAATAAGTGAACCAAGAATAAAAAACTAAAAGTAGAAAAATATCAAAAATAAAATAAAATAAAATAAATTAGATAACGTAATATAGTTCAAAAGAAAAGCAAAGTAAAATAAAATAAAAAATTGACTTAAATATAGTAATGAAAGAAAGAACTTAAACAAATAAATTGAAAAATAAAATAATTAAATTCAAAGTAATTAAAAATAAATAAATAAATTCAAAGTAATTAAAAATAAATAAATAAACTTTAAGCAAGTTAAATTAAATCGATTATTTAATAAGAAACCGAAAAAACTTAAAACGTAAAAAGAGATAAATAAACTTATATAAAAAAATAAATCAAACTTGCTTAATATAAAATATTTAAATTAAATTAACCTAAACTAATTAAATTAAATTAATTTTAACTAAATTAAACGAAACGAAATAAAAATGAAATTAAAATAAAGAAAGCAAAAATAAAAAATTAATTTTAAGTGAATGAAATTAAATAATAAAATAAAATTATGAAGATTAATTAAAAAAATAACCTTAAAAGCACTAAATAAAGTTAAAAAAAAAAACTAAATAAATTTTGTTAAAAATAATAATTTAAAATAAAAAATAAGTACATTTAATTAAATAAAAAAGAATAAATAAAATTAAATTTCAATTATTCAAAATAAAGAGTTTTAATTAAATTTAAAAGAAAAACACTAAATAAAAAATTAAAAAACAAGACTATTAAATTAAACTACATAAATTAGAAAAATAAAAGAACTAAATGAAATTCAATAGCACAAAAAAACTATATAACAAAAAATTAACATTAAAAATTAAAATAATAAAAATAAAGTAAACAAATAAAAAAATAAAAAATTAATTAAATAAAAAAAAAAAATTATTAAAAAAAAATAATTAAAAAAATAAAAATTAATTAATAAAAAATAAAAATATAAAATTTGTTTAAAAATAATAATTTAAAATACAAAAGAAGTAAATTTAATTAACTAAAATATTAAAAAAAAAATAATTAAGTTCAGTTATTCAAAATAAAGAGATTTAATTAAATTTAAAAGAAAAAAATTCAATAAAAAATTAAAAATTAATTAATAAAAAAATAAAAATTAATTGATAAAAAATAAAAATTAATAAAAAAAAAATTAATTAATAAAAAAAATAAAAATTAAGTAATAAAAAAATTCAAAATTAATTAATAAAAAAAATAAAAACTAATTAATAAAAATAAATAAAAATTAATTAATAAAAAAAATAAAAATTAGTTAATAAAAAAAATAAAAATTATTTAATAAAAAAAATAAAAATTAATTAATAAAAAAATAAAAACTAATTAATAAAAAAATAAAAATTAATTAATAAAAAATAAAAATTAATTAATAAAAAAAAATAAAAATTAATTAATAAAAATTAATTTGTAAAAAAATAAAAATTAATTTAAAAAAAGGTAAAAATTAATTTATAAAAAAAATTAATTAATGAAAAAATTAAAATAAATTGATAAAACTTATAAAAATTAATTTATAAAAAAAATAAAAAAAATTTATAAGAAAAAAAATAAAAATTAATAAATAAAAAAATAAAAATTAATAAATAAAAAAATAAAAATTAATAAATAAAAAAATAAAAATTAATAAATAAAAAAATAAAAATTAATTTATAAAAAAAAATTAATTAATAAAAAAATAAAAATAAATGATTAAAAAAATAATAAACAATATAAAATTCCTGAATTCAACAGCATCTTATCTCTACCCTAATGCTCTATTATGCAATATGTTAAAAAATTTATATATCAAAACTTCGAAATATAAACATTTCTAATGGACCCCCGCAATCTGGAAATTGAAAATCATGCCAAAACGTGTTAAACTACCTTCAATGCACTTAAGTATTTAAGTGCAGCCAACTGCATTATAAAATACAAATACAAAATTTGTTAAAAATTGTTTTAAATCTCTTTGCATAGTATACTCATTAAAGTTGTCTAACCGCGAACGAGTGGCTAAAAGGAGAATAAATGTTGCCACCCTTTTAACTGCTCGCAATAATCGTAACATAGTTTCTTATAACTGAAAACTTTAAAGCAACTTTGTCACATTTATACTCTATTTTACCGTTATACTAAAAGTTTCGCTAGCCCCATAAGTATTTTCAACTGCTACAAAATTTCTTTCCACAAGCAC